CCAAGGTATAATTGATTTTCTACACAATGGCTCACAGGTGCTACATTTAATATCCTGAGTAGTAGGAGGATGGAAACGTATCCCAAGGTGCAGCTATTACTTAAAATATCTACGGAGTCAGCCCTCTGCTCCGGGAAAGGCTGGGCGGCCTGGACGGAGGGGAAGGCAGGGCCCCGCCTGCCTGGCGGTGGGATGTGCAGTGGGCCTGCTCCTTCCTGAGCCGCTCAGAGCACAGGGCCTGGCTTCCGTACTCTCGGGGCCGGAAGCCACGCACCTCTTTAAAGGCCCAGATCTCAAGGTGAGGGAGAAACGCAGGGCAAGCGCGCCATGAATTCCATATTAATATTATAACAGCCCTTTCAGGATTCACCGTTGCTATGTCAACAAAGCAGCTGGGGAAATTGGGTCTCATGAGGTCAGCTTTGGCAACAGGGTGAATGTCTCCTTCCCTCAGAACAATTGGTCTGTGACACCAGTCACCTTTTCCTACCTACCCTTTCTTCTGCTTTTTCACCGTGAAAATTGAGATGCAAACAGCAGTTAAGGTTCCGGGTTAGAGAGCAGTGTCTATGTCTTAAGAAACAAACAAATGACTCCCCCTTCCCAGCCCTCTTCACCTGTTCATGCCAATTTCTCAGCTCCAACCTGGGCTCTGCCAGACCGAAAATGGATTCTGTGCCCAGATCTGCGATTTTAAAGGAGTGGTAGACTTCGTTTTGGTGTCAACTGCCTCCTCGCGTAGACTAAGGGTATCTGCTCAAGATCAGCTACAAGGTCTGCAGGACCCAGCGCAGGATGAGCGGGCAGGCGAGGCCCCTAGTTCAGAAGTGAAAATGTCCGGCCTGGGCGCGGGCCCGTCAAGCAGAGGGCCTTCTGGGAGTCCTCCAGGGGCGCGTCCACAGCACATGGACACGGGGCTGGGACGCCAGGGCCTGCGGCCCCTGTCTGGTCTCTGTTCTCCCCCAGGCCTCCCTTCAGCATAGGGAAGCCAGCCCAGACCGCTCCACAGTTTTCCAGCTTAGAGCTGCGGCATCCAACACCCCCACACCTGTGCTCTTGGCTTCTCAGTGTAGAAACCCTGGGAAGGCCTTGCCCTAGCCTGGGCCAGGTGCCCGTGCTAGACCATGGGCCATAGGTGGGAGCCCCTGGGGAATTTCAGGACGGAGCAGGGAGGGGATAGCGCAGGACAGTAAATAATCTCACAGGCGTGCAGCCTGTTAGAAGAGCCTGGACGGCAGACTTCATCTCCCCACTGCCACCCGCTATCTACAGCATCTGCCCGGGGAGGGGGCTGTGGGAGAGGCCACCTGGCTGCCCACGGATAGTGCCAGCACTGCCCTCCTGGACACAGTGCTGTTGTGCAGGGTGCCTAGTGTGTCCCTCTGTCCTCTGCGAGCTCACGCCCCCCACCAAGTCACCCTTCAGGAGGCCAAGGAAGGGGCAAGGATTTAGCTCAGTGGTTCCGTTGCCTGCCTTGAAAGGACAAGGTCCCGAGTTCCATCCCTGGTACCAAAAAAAAAATACAGGAGGCCATGGGAGGGTCGAGTGGTTTCTTCCATCCTAGAGATGTCAGTGAAATGTGATAAATTCTCTTAAAATAAATGTATTTTAAACAGACAAGAGAAATGCTCTAGTTCTAGCAAGCTGAAGCAAGCCTTTTGTACAGAAGATTTATACTTAGTGGAACAAGCACTTAGTTCCTTCACAAATACGCATTGCTTAAGGGTGACAGACCACTCTTTCTGGGAAAGACACCCACAGGGAAGAAGGAGTGAGTTTACACCCACAGGCAACTGCATCAACAAGCCTTGAGCTGCCCTGCCGCTGTCTAGGCAGGGCTTTCCTGCACCGGGACGCCCCAGCTCACTCCATGCCTTCAAGCACGCCTGAGTGTTTTCACATGAGCCCACTTGTGCCTTTGTTGGTGGTGGGAGGGTGGCAAACACCAACAGGGCCTCGGACGGGCTTTACTGTGGCAGCCTCAGGCCCCAGTCTGAGAGGGAGCATGTTGTATGCGGGGAAGGCAGCCGGGATCATGAAGGCTTTGCATGAAAAAGGGAAAACCATCCTAATAATTTTATTGGCTGGAGGCTGAGCTCATGGTGGGGTGTCTGCTTAGTATACACAAGGTCCTGGGTTCCATCCCAGCACCACCACCACCACCAATAATAATGGTAATGTTGTTATTTACTGGTTAGAGGCTGAAATTTTTTCATTAGGTCAAATAAAAAAATCCTAATTTTTCACTGGGTTTCTTTTTTACTTTTTAATACATATACTAGAAAACTGTAAGTGACCCGTGTGGCTGCCCCTGGCAGTGGGCAGGCTGGCTCTGCAGGTGGCCACCTCTACCTGGTACAGGGGCCTCTCCCTGTGTTTTCCCCAGAAGAGGAGTGGAACTCCTTCCAGGTCAGCCAGAGAGGAAGCAGAAATTGCCAGTTTCTCAGCGGTTGGGCAGGGCAGACTTGAGGTTTGCCCACGCTCAACAGAAAGGGACACAGACCCACCTCCTGGTTGGAGGCATCCAAAGAACATGGCTGAGACCAAGTGTGGGGGCACAGGCCTATAATCTCAGCACTCTGGGAGGCTGAGGCAGGAGGGTCACAAGTTCCAGCTCAGCCTGGGCAACTTAGCAACCTGTCTCAAAATCTAAAAATTCCAAAAGGATCAGAGATATAGCTTAATGCAAAGGCCTTAATCTTCAGTACTGGAAAAGAGAGAGAATATGGTCAGGAGTCTGTGTACCCTCTGCCTTGGGTCTGCTGTGAGGTCCGAGTCTCGGTCCCCAAGGACAGCAGCAAGGACCCCGGGGCTGAGAAGGGAGGCTGTGGGCAGAGGATGCTGGCCCTCGGTCTGCGCTGGCTCCTCACCCACCGTGCAGCCCTTCCCAGAACGCAGTGTGGGACTGCTGGATGGGCGGAAGGAAATCTCTCCCAGGACCAGTGACTGTCCTCAGGCTCTGGACCGACTGGACACTGGAAAAAGGTTCTCCCTGGACCACACAGAGTTTTCTAACATGAGGATCTGGGCTACTGGAGGAAGTAGAAAGGAGGCTCCATGGGCTTTCAGCCTCAGCAGACGATGGAACATATAAGCTTCCTTTCTCTTCCTTGATTCCCTCCTAACCTCAGGCCTACCAGGTGTGCTCTACTGCTGAGCTGCATCCCCAGCCCTTTGTATGCTTTAAGACAGGGTCTCATGAGGCTGCCCAAGTGGGACTCAAACTTGGGATCCTCCTGCCTCAGCCTTCCCCAGTGCTGGGATTGCACGTGTGCACAGGCCTGTCTTCCAGAGTGCTTGTTTTGTGTCTATGCTTCAGGCACTTGCCAGCTTGCTTACTGCTCACATGAGACCCAAGCCTGTTGCTTCATAACCTTCCCTGAGCAGGCGCAGTAAGACTTATTTCCCACGTAGGCGATGAGCAGAATGTGACAGCAGGTGACTCACTGTCACCCCTGAGGTGCATTTACCTACACAGCGAGGGGGGCCAGGGCCCAGAACAGTACCAACACCTTCAAAAATGATGTCACTCCCCATACCCAATTCAGATCCACACGTTTGAACCTGCACAATCATCTCAGATCCATATCATTAAGTCAAATTCCGGGAAGATGGCTTGATATTCTAAATTATTTGTCAGCCCAGCACGGCAAATAAACATTTGTGAAATTCATTTCAAAAGATGTTAACACTGGTGAAACCCACATGCCCCCAGAGGGATTATACAAATTTCCATGTCAAATATTTGAAGCAAAGCACTTGTAGAGAAACAGTGCTTTTTTGTGTTTTGATGCCTTTCATTTCCATAAACTAGATTACTTTCTGAAATTACTTTCACACAGAGAACAGTTTCTATTGAATTCCAGTCAGTGAACTCCTCTGAGTGTGAGGTGAATAAAATATCTGGGGTCTGCGGGGCTTCCTGGATGCATCCACACCTGCTGGAGCATAGACGGTAAACCAAGTCGAGATGTTATCTGCAGAGACCTCAGGTACCAGATCTGCTGTCTTACTGTAATTGCTAAACAGCCAATTCATTTAGAGCCCAACCAGGAAGCTCCAGGCTTTCTTTCCCCCCATCTCTGCTACCTGGCTCTGTTGTTAGCTGGAGATTTGCTGGCAGGCAGCTGCCTGCTATGGAGAGGTTCCCCGACAGACAGTCAAGTTTATCTGCTTCCTGCAAACACTGATTCTGCCAAAAAAAAATCCACACACAAAAAATGTGATCCAAGCAAACATTGTCCTATTGTCCTAGTTCTATCAAGCCCATAAAATTAAAATGGACTGAGTTTTCTTAAAAGGGAAAAAAAAGAAAAAGTATTCAAAGAACCAAGTAGAAGAAAGCTGTTGGGTTAAATGTTACTCAGAACAAACAGGCACTTCCTATAGGTGTGGGCTCTCCACTGCTGTCTGGAGACAGGATGGTGATTCTGGGGTGGCTAGGGACACAGAGGACAATGCTCCTTAGATAAAGGCACTGGGAGTTCTTATCTTATGGAGTTGGCTCATCTTGGAAATACAGAACACTTCTTAGCAAATCTAACCTTGACCAACTTTAAAATGGCCAAGTGATTAGCACTGAAGACAGCTCTGGCTACAGCCAGGATGTGGCCTGCAAACATCAGAGGCCAGACTGGTTGGTGCCTGTGGCTGCCTGACCAGGAGGAGAAAGAAGGAAAGGAAGGTGAGAGAAGGCAGGCCGAAGGATTCCTTGCCCCCACCAAGGCAGTTTCCTGACTCCTCTGAGTAAGGGGAGCCCCGGGGGCTCCTCAACTGAGGAGTGGAATGAATTGATGGAGAGAGTAGCGGGATTGCTCTGGGTACCAGAGGAAGAAAGCACCAGAAGGCTAGTAGGAGAGCCATGATGAGACGGGCTGGTAACTGGAACCAGAGTGAGAACAGAAGAAAGTGCAAGAAGCGGTTGATTTCTGGGTTTATTTAACACCAACCCTTTCTGTGCGCGAGAATAAAGGAGAATAGAAGATGATCCCAAATACATATTCTTGAGCAGCTGGAAAAATGCAGTTGTATTTATTTAGATGAAAGAAACTGCAGATGGAAACTAGGATGTGGATATACAGTGTCATCTTGAGGTGTCCATTAGATTTCCTAGTGGAAAAGCCAGCTAGAGGATGGCTACAATGAAATATAAAGTTCCCAGTCATCTATTTAAACAGGATGTGTTTGAGTCTGGAAACTGGATGGAGATCACCAGGAAGGGAAAAGTAAATATAAGAAGAGGCCGGGCATGTGAGAATGGAGGCACACGTGTAGTCCAGGAGATTGCAGATTCAGTGCAAACCTGCGGTACTGTGTACAGAAAGCCCCTCCAGTCACTTGATAGACCCTGAAAGCGTAAACGCAGAATGTCTGTCCACCAAGGAGACCGAGCAACCACAGCCAGCGGCCCCAACGAAGGGGAGGGAGGAGGTGTGGCCTGCGCTGTCCAGAGCGGGGCTGCTCCAGGAAGGAGGACACAGCAATGGCTAGACCCCCAGACGGCAGGTTGCCGAGGGGCTACTGAAGGCATGAGACAACCGAAGAGACCAGCAGACCGAGCCCCAAGAGCAGAATGGCCCCGCTTGGCAAATGTTCCTCCTCCCTACTTCCTGGGCCCTCACTCCCAGGACCCACGGAGCCCAGGCACAAATGTGCGCGCGCGCGCGCACGCACACGCACACACGGGTGACGGGATGTTGCAGGTGCCCTAGAGCTCCACAGCCACCTTGGCTTCTTCTCCTCCTCCGAAACACCCTGCCACGGTTTTCTTCACCGCTTCCAAACTGGCCAGCATCTTGCCACGACTTTGATTCCCGATCCTGGCCATGGTGGGTGGGGGCTGCACTCACAGGCTCCCCAGAGCTGTGCCTGCCGCGTGGAGAGGGTCCTGGCCACGACAGCGACGCTGTGTATGGAAAAGGGTGATGTGCGGACAGGCAGCACACCCGCCGTGACGTGGCTCGGATTCAAGTCTCCCCGGTCCTTCCAGCCTCAGTCATCCAACTACAGAGCGGGAGCTGTGTCCTCCTGGGTGGGAATGAGAATTAAAATGGGGCGGAACTGCTCTTGTAAACCATCTGAGCCGTACTGACTGTGCCAGGGTTTCCTCTTTTGTCCCTTGTCCTACACTTTGTTCCTAAAAGCCACAGCAGAGAATTCCAACTCTGCCTTTAGTCAGCCAAACTAGCTCCTGGCATTGTGGGCTCTCTTTAGCTTTTCTGTTTTCCTACAAAGTAAAACATTTTCACTAGCAGGAATGAGTTTTCATGGTAAGAGCTGCATTTTATAAGTGTTTTATGCTGGGCATGGTGGCACACACCTGTAATCCTCACTCTGGGAGGCTGAGGTAGGAAGACAGCAAGTTTGATCCAGCCTGGGCCACTTAGTGACTTTGTGAGGCCCTGTCTCAAACTGAAAAATAAAAAAAGAACTGGGGATGTAGCTCAGTGTGAAAGCCCTGGGTTCAATCCCCGGCATCAGAATGGAAGAAAGGGAGGGAGGGAGGGAGGGAGCAAGGGAGGGAAGAGGACAGGGGAAAGAACTTTCATGATGCATATGCAATAACAAGATGTACAAAGGGATAAGCTTGAAAAAGAGCCACTTAACATTTTACGTGACATTTTACATTCAAATATAATTCATATATGAAGAAATGGAAAATTAGATAAATAAAAATTTAGTCAAACAGTAAGCTAAATATACCTTTCATTGTCACTAAATTTCATTTTTTGTCAAAGTAGACCACATTGTATTTTTAAGTGCTCTCATTTTGTTAGTGGGTTTCCCTTTGAGCAAATGGTAAAAGGCAAAATTTAAGTTAGGCTTAGTGGCACAGGCCTATAATCCCAGCACTCTGGGAAGCTGAGGCAGGAGGATCCCCAAGTTCCAGCTCAGCCTGGGTAATTTAACAACTTTGTGGTGAGACCATCTCAAAACAAATAGAGAAATAAAAGTAGAAAAGCCTGGGAATGTAGTTCTGTGAAGGCCCTGGGTTCAATCCCTAGTAACACACACACACACACACACACACACACACACACACAAAATTACATTCTACACTGAAAAAATATGTCTTTGACTCTAAATTCTTTAATTTCTCCAGGTCCCCTCCCCAAAACAGTTAAGAATTAATAACTATGCATGAAATACATGCACACCACACCCCCCATTCTCTACCTTTGCTGGTGCGTTCTCCATTGTACACTGGTGTTCTCTACCAGCTAGATTCTCCCCGGCATGCAGGAAAGGTCTGGGCACAGGGCACAAAAGAAAGACAGTTCACCAAGAGCAAGGGTATGGGGTTAGGAATGGTGACAGTGCACTGGGCTGGGCTGTGGCAGAAGCCCCAGGACTTGGTCCCAGTAAGACAGGCTGAGAGAGTCTGGAGCAGCTGCCGTGGGTGCCCGAACTCACCCCCGGAAGATCTGGGGTGGAGAGTGGGAGCTCTACTGCAAAATGACTTTCCTCTCTTAAAACTGTGAATGAATGGAATTCAGAATCTGTCATAAGGATAATGCGAATGAATGTATGAATGGATGGATGGATGGATGGATGGATGGGTGGATGAATGAATGGATGGATGGATGGATGGATGAATGGATGAATGGATGGTGGATGAATGGATGGATGGATGAATGGGTGGATGGATGGGTGGATGGACGGATGGATGGATGGATGAATGGATGGATGGATGGGTGGATGAATGGATGAATGGATGGATGGATGAATGCACTCTGCTTGGCTTGAGACCTCCATGGCATGTTTCTGTGGGCAGCAAATGTGTGTGGCTCACGAGGGAGAGGGAGATGGTGGATGTAAGTGGCTGTGGAATGGCCACCGTCCAGCTGCTCCACTCACACTCCTGCTCCCCAGGAAGGTGTCAGTGGTGCAGACCTCACCTCCACATCCCAGGAGTGGAAAGGGTGGGGCTGGGTGTTATGCAGGGTGAGGACAGTGCTCAGTCCTCCAGCGGCACCAGCTGTGCAGCCCAGGCACTCTGGAGAGCTCGCTGCGGAGATGGAGGCCTTCCAGTGGCAGAGCCAATCCGACTGTGTCCCCAGGGCCCTGCTGGGAGGCAGGGCTTGAGGAACATGTGAGCCAGTTTATCTCTGTGCAGAGTTGCAGTGGACATGGTGTGGGCCACAGGCACTACAGCTTTATGTGCACAGCATCATACTCATTATTTCATGCTCACCGTCCAACGCTGAAGTAAGAATTCTCCTTCTTGTTGGTGAGGAGACCAAAGGTGTGAGGGCTCTTGGAAGACACCAAACTTCCTGGAAGGGGCAGAAGGTCCTAGACTCAAAACACGATGCCAATTCAGGCTCAGAACCCATTTTCCGTTTGGCACATTGGTTCTTCTTCTCCATCCAGCAGATGAGGAAAGTGGTGGCCCCTCTGCCATCACTTCTGCCCCTTGGATGTCACTTCCCATCGCAACACAAGTGACACGCTCACTAAAACTGATTGAAGAAAGCACATGTTACTGTGGAGCCATTGAGCCTGAACATGATCTTCACCTAACCTTGGCCCAGTCAGGCAAGGACCTGAGAGGGACACAGTGACACACCTTAATCACCTGTCACCTGCTATTGTTAAGGGCAAAAAGGCTATTTGAGGGTTTCTTCCACAATGGACCACGCGAGTGACCACCTGGATAATCTTGGCAACCAGAGATATTGATCTTATCTGAGTGATTAGTTAACAGGATTGTTTTTCTGTTTCTAGCTGCCCTGTATCAATCTGTGACCACCTGCTGGAAAACAGGCCACCTACACGGAAAACTCATCTTTTCTGGGTATGTTAATACTGCCAGCTGGGAAACCTGGCTTTCTGATTTCTGCGGTCACACACAAGACTTCTGTTGTTGCTATTGTTGTTTTTCAGTACTGGAGATAGAACCCAGGCCTTGTGCCTGCTACCACAAAGCTACATGCCCAGCTCATGGAAGACTCTTACAGAGAGTGGCAATGGTGGCTCTGTCTCCCAGGCTCGCAGAACAGCCCTACAAATCCACGTAAAGCCATTCGGAGCAATTTGACAGTGCTTGACTGTCCCCAGATGTCCTCCAAAACACCCAGAGATTTGTTGGCAATAGGATAGCACACCAGCCTTTTCTCAAAGGTGTCTCCAGTTTCTAGCTTGGTTTGCAGATGGCTGTAGTTAAAAATAGTTAAAGCCGGGCCCGGGATTTAGCTCAGTGGTTTTGCGGCCTGCTGCGCAAGTGCAAGGACCCGAGTTCGATCCCCGGTATGAAAAAAAAAAAAATAGTTAAAGCCTGCAAACCTAAGAACCAGCTCAGAGACCTCAAGACCAAGAGGCAAACGTGCCCATGGGACCTGGTTGGCGCTGGCCTCGATTCTCCCTCTTCTCTGGAGTGACAGCTGCCTGATACTGGCATGCTCCCTGCAGCCACATGGGCATGCAAAGGGCCCCCTGCCCAGTCCGCCCTGCTCATCCAGCCCCGCCTGTCCCAGCAGCTGTGCCGGCCTCTGCCCACCTTAGCTCGTGGCCTCCATGCCTCCCCACCACCAACACCAGCACCCAGGGAGCGGCAAGAGGGGCTCTCAGCCCAAGCCGCTGAGCCTGTGGTGAACACAACCACGGTCAAGGCACTGCTGGCCCCTTCCTGTACCAAGCAAAGCCTTCTTCCAGAGCTTCACAGGAAGCGGCTACAGAAACAGCAGTGGGGTCCCATCAGCCCTGGTCCAGTCCATGGGAGTGCAGTGCTCCTGCTGCTGGTGTGGGGCCCGCTCACTCCCCTCAGGCAAGCCTGGCTGCCCTTCCCAGGTAGATGTGGCTGTCCTTTTCACAGGGTTGAATTTGGAAGCTTTGGGTTTGTTGGGTAATTAATTTGTTGTGAAAACAAATATGGAGAGAAAGCAAACTTTTCTCCGGGATGCAAATAACCGTGGATGCTCTGTGTTTAGTAAGGACGGCTGAACACTGCTGGGTCTGTGACTGGCTTTATTACACGTGTGAGCCATCAGACATTGATAGCTCACTCCTCATCAACGTGAGCGATTTATAATCATGAACTATGACAGAAAGACAAATGCGGAAATCTCAGGACCAAATTAGACATAATTAGTATCCATACAGGAAACATGCCAGTAACCTGGCAATTTGCAGCCCAGGGAGGACACACGCAGCATTGTCTTAACGACAAGCTCATAGAACGTGTAATTAGCCACCAGCCACGGCCACCTTAGCACACGGATCTGAGCCGCTGCCAGTCACGGGCCGGCCTGCGACACCTCTTTGCTAGAAACTGCTCTGAGCCCAGGCTCAGGAGGAGGCGCCCAGTCCACGTGTGCCAGAAGGGGCAGCAGCTGTGCCTCTGGCTTTTCCTCTGAGGGACTCACAGTATTTTTCCGCAGTTTAAGGAATGTGGAGTTCAGGGGTTAGTTTCAGTCAAGTTACTTTCAGAAACAGAAGCTCATGGTGGTTGGGCACACATGTGATCCCTACACTGCAGGGCTGAGACAGGAGGATCGCTGTGACTTTGAGGCCAACCTGGGCTACATAGGGAGTTCAAGGTCAGCCTAAACTACATAGTGAGACCGTCTCAAAATTTAAAAAAGGAAAAAAAAAAGAGAAAAAAGAAAACAAAGAAGCTCATGGCATCTCTTTATGTCAGAGTTTAGTGACAACTATGAAAATTATAACCCTAATTCAGACAATGAGATTTCTCATTCTAGGAAGTTGATTTCTTTTCTTTCCTCTTCCTTTCTTCCTTCTTTCCTTCTTTCCTTCCTTCCTTCCTCCCTCCTTCCCTTCCTCCCTCCCTCTCTCCCCACCTCCCCTTCTTTCTTTCTGGACAAGATCTTCTTACGTTGTTTGGACTGGCCTGGAACATTGCTAATGTAGTAAAGGATGGCCTTGAACTCAAGATCCTCCAAGGGCTGGAAATTCAGGTGTGTACCACCATGATGGGTTTAAGGAGTTAAATTAAAGTTCAGTAGCCCTCTCTTTATCCCTGGGGAATGGGCTCCAAGACCCCTAGTAGATGTCTGACTCTGAGAATAGTACTGAGTCCTTACATACTATATATCTTCTATTCATACATACCTACAATAAAGATTAAGTTATAAATTGGTACAGTAAAAGATTAACAACAATAACTAATAATGAAAGAGAACAAATCAAACATTGTACTGTCATAAAAATTAGCCAAGTGTGGTGACACAAGCCTAGCAGGAAGATCTCAATTCCAGCCCAGCCTGAATAACTAAGTGAGAACTTATCTCAAAATAAAAAAGGCTGAGGATGTAGCTTAGTGTGAGGGCCCTGGAGTCAATCCCCAGTGCCACAAAAAGGGGGGGAGAGGGAGGAGAGGAGGGGGAGAAAAAGGATGAATAGGAGGAGGAAGAAAGTGAATATAGTACAATAAGGTATTTTGAGAGAGACACCGCATTAATAACTTTAATTTTTGGTGGTACAGGGGATCAAATCCAGGGCCTTTGCATGGAGCTACATCCCCAGCCCTTTCATCTTTTATTTGGAGTGTAAGACCGAGGGCCTGACCAAACGCTCCGAGGAGCTGACTGCAGCGATGAACACCCGGGAAGGAACACACCAGACAAGTTGGAAAATAAAACAGACCTTTATTAGTCTGGCCAGATGGCACTCCCAAAGCAAAGTAGCTTAGAGAGGCCACTGGCTCAGAGTCCAAGGCTGTTTTATAGGGGGTTGAGGGGGAATTTAACATGTAGATGTATGAAAAAAAGGAACAAAGGTTAGTGGTCGACTGTCATGTACTGATGGTCAGCAGACACACACAGTAATGGTCATGACCATATGGTCATGACCGTCACGTACTGATGGTCGGCAGACACACTGATGGATTGTTCTACCGACAGTGGGCCCGGGAACATTCGTTCTCCGGACAAACAAGGGGTTGAATAATTTACTTAGGAACTTTGTTTTGCTACAGATTTATCTATTATCCCAGAACTAACAAGCACATTTTAACCATTAATTTTTAAATACAATAGAGGCTAAGGGAGTAATTGAATTTGGAATCATACAGTCCCACGTTCCCCACTGATTTTCTGTAATCTAAGTAATCTTACGCATAAATGTAGGCATCCATTGTATACAACAGCATGATAATAATACGCATATACATATGATTATAATGGCAATGAATAGTTGTCTTAACCATTGTAAATTGGGCAGCCATTTAGTTAGCCATTTAAACAGATCTCCACCATCCTCATCATGTACTTTTTGAGCCAAGTCTTTTAATTGTTTTACCTCTTTTTGATTTTGAACTATCATATTTCTTATTTTCTCACAACCTTGGTGGTGGAAGAGCAACAAATAGTCTATCACTGCCCTATTATCTAAGATTGCCTGTCTCTGTTCTTGTAACTCTTGGTTAAATTGGCCGGAATATAATTGAAGGTTATTCCTTCACAGGTATAAAGCCATCCCATTGGCAGGGAGATATGGCAATTGTTATACACAATTTTTTTTGTTTTATATGGCAGGACATCCCTTCCGACTGTTTTATCCTCAGACATTTGGTTGTACAATTTTCATACATAGCACATTCAGTCTTATTTGACATGATCACTTTAGGCGTATATAATTTGACAGCATTTTTAGGCTTATGACATGTGACAGGTCCCCAGTTATAACTATCTATATAAGTAAGTTTTTTTCCTGGAATATCCTTAAACAGGGTATAGGGCCGTATTAACTCTAAAGGGGTGCATATCGGGATAAGACAACTTCCCAATACATAATGGAAATTCACATCAACACTTAAACAGAATTCAGATAGATTAAGCGACTTTGCCAATTGAACCCATATATTTTTTGTGTGATCTAGTCCTCCTGAGGGCAATACTGTCAATGTTCTAGAAAATATTATCATGAAGGCAAAGCATTTCCAACCCGCTCCAATCTTAGCTTTTGGTCTCCCGGTTGGCTGATAATCTTCCATTTGTCCTTTTTGACATCTGCGGGGGGGTCCTGGTTTTAGATGGTTGCGATGTATCCAGGCAGAATGTCCAGCCACCTTTACTGCCAAAAGAGTTGACAGGACAACAGGAACCGGTCCTTTCCAGTGAGGTTCTAGGGTCTTGGAATCAAACCTGCGAATAAAAACCAAATCTCCCGGCTTATAGGGTAAAGGTTGTAAAGGTTTTTCATTTGGCCTAGTCATTTTCTTTCTTTCGTAACGTCTCATGTAGCTCTGACTGAAGCTGATGAACTGCTTTTAAGGATTTAAGGAGCCAAAGGTGGGAAAACTTTTCTTTTAATTCTACATCTATTAATGGAATGATTGGGGGAGATCGCCCATAAATAATCTGGAAGGGGGACAGATTGAGGGGAGGCTTGGGAGTACACCTTATTCAGAGGAGGGCAAAAGGAAGAAGTTCTACCCAACCTAGTTCAGTCTCCAAACATAATTTAGTCAGAATCTCCTTTAAAGTCCTATTTGTTCTTTCTACCTGTCCTGAACTTTAAGGCCTATAGGCACAGTGTAGGTTCCACTTTATTCCAAGAATATTACTAATTAATTTAGATATCTTAGCTGTAAAGGCTGGACCATTGTCGGACCCCAGAGCTAAGGGCAAACCAAAATGGGGAACTATTTCTGTCAGGAGCTTTTTAACTGTTACTTCAGCTGTC